GGCCCCCCAGTGTGGGAAGTTTGGGACCACTGATATAGATCACCCTGATTTCTTGTTTTCATACCTTTGATGGAGAAAAAGGGTAGGCTAGCCACGCTTATAAATAACTCTCCATAGTGTTCTAGTGTGAAACTTCCCATTTTCCTTGGGAAGGACATTTAATAGAGTTGCTAGAGTAGTTTGTGAGCACCATAAACCACCCAAAGCAAATTAGCTCCTTGCTTCAATATCATGTAGCAGATAGGTGTCATTTACTATTTGATATGAGATACATTCCAAAAAGTTCCTTTTAAACTATTTCCTTTTTTTTTGAGAGGTTTTTGTTATAGGGTGCATGCGCTCGCCAGACAGACAGAGAGAGACACAGAGACAGAAAGTGAGAAATCATCCCCCAGGGGGCATGGCCACGCCACAATCCCTTCTCCTCCATTCTCCTCTCAGGATCTTGGGCACACACGCACACGCACCCGGAGTGAGTTTAAGCCGCCGGGTCCAGGACTAGAACCACGGTCGACTACATGGTTCAGCGACATAGCCATTAGGCTAACTGCTGGTCCCCCTTTTAAACTATTTCTTTATGTATTTTTTATTTTTTTTACATTGTACATAATCCAAAAGAATCAGAAGACATAACTGAAAAACTTCTATCCCCAATTCAACCAATTTTCCTTCTCCAGAAGCAACGAATATGATTACTTTCTCACAAATGCCTCCAGAAATAGTCTACGTATGATCATTTCTGGAAACTCCATAATTATACTGCCATCTCTTTTATAAAGATAGGAGCCCTCATCCATACTGTTGTGCTTAATTTTTTTCATAAAGCACAGACACGAGGATCAGACAGTGTGCAGCAGTGAAACACAGGGCTCTGCAAAACCAACCTACATGGAAAGGTTCCAGGTTTGCCCCCACAGACCTCCCTGAGCATGCCTCGAAAGTATGTGCCTGTGACCTAGGGCTGGCTGAGACTAGGGGTGGATTGAGGCATCAGGACATTGAGAAAGCTTATCATTGAGAAAACACAGCATTAGAAGTCTAAACATATTTTTGTCTGGCCAGAGCTGGAATTAAGATAGACTTATTCATGAGATGAAACTCAAACTGTAAGTACAGGTACCAGATCACTCCGGACATTTAAAGATTTCGAATAATATCTTGAAGCGAGGACCAGCAGGTGGCATGGTGGTTAAGGTGCTGGACACTCTCACATGGCTGACCATGGTTCAAGTCCCAGACCTGGTGGCTTGCTTTCTCATTTTCCCTCTATCTGTCTCTCTCTCTCTCTCTTTCTCTCTCTGGTCAAATTAAAATAAATGAATAAATACATTAAATTAAATGAAATAATTTTTAAAAAAAATCTTAAGGCCACATCTCTTGGTTATGTGGCCATTAAAATAATTTAGGGAATTCAGATGAGCAGATTTATATTTTAGGGAAAAATTTGGATTTTCTGTAGAGGAAAAATTGGAGCAGAGCAAATCTTGGCATATGAGAACAATTAGTAGGTTACTGATTTTTGAGGGTTCTCAGGTAGGATTTTATGGAAGAGATAGAAAAACATGGATGTGTCTTAGAGAGACTCAGCATATAGAACTTTAACTGAATCAAGGTGAGGGCAAAAGAGAGAATGAGCTGCCAGGGATGAGCTATGGTTTGAGTGGGTGGTGGCTTTGTTCACTGACATATATAATACAGAAGAGCAAGCAGATACAGAGGGGCAAGATGACAAGCTGAATTTGAATTTGCACAAAATGAATTTAAGGTATGGTGAGATGTCTAACTGGAAAATGACCAGAGATTTTCAACAGCCCAAAAAAGAAATCCTAGTTCGAGTCATAACAGAGTAAATATTTTATCAGGATTTCTTACATAGGTATCTTGGATGTGCAGATGTTCTTGGGTCTCTGAAATTTCAGGCAAGTTTGTTGGGCATGTGAATATGCAGACTAACTTCTTTTCTCTCCTTATCCACCTTCCCCATGTTAAGTGTGATGGTTACACTTTGCAAGTATCCACATGCTATACGCACACAACAGACACAGAACTCTTTTATTACTCATTTTATTTTCATATAAATTAACATCCTAGAAAAATTGAAATAGAAACACTAAATACAGTATTGCACATAGCGATCTTTGTTAAATGCCCTATTATTTTCTTGAAGAATGGTAATATACACATTGGAGGGACCGAAGGAGACAGGAAAACTACAAAACAACAGAAAAAACCACTACTGTTTCTTTGCACTTAAACTACAAACTAAAAGGTAAGAGACCATACTTTACATAAATACATTGTTATGATTTAGAACAGTGTTTTTCTTTTAAAGTTGCTTACCATAATTGGTTTGCAATAGCAATAAATTCTCTCCTTTATCCACAACCATAACTCCTAACAAATAGCATTAAAAGCATTTTTTTAAAAAAAACAACTATTAATGTTAGACAAAACTGCGACAATGCCTCACGAGCTGACTTTCAAGTACTCTCAGAGCAGGAGATTTGCTTTTTTTCTCAAAGGAACACAAAAAGAAATCCTTTCCTCGACTCCTTCAGATAATGAATCATTGAATTTGCATTTTACAGCTTTAATCACATGCCACAACACATAAAGACAACTCCGGTCAGGATAAAATAATCAGGCAGGTGTGGTTAGTGAACCTAGGTGTCAATCTACCCCAAAACTTTCATTAAAAAAAAAAATTGTTTTGCTGACAATTAGTCATGTTTGGCAATTTCATGTGCATCATTTCGTTAAATTCCTGCCAAATATTGAATGAAATTTTCTTTGTGATGGTAGAAGTTATATAGAGATGCACCTTTAGCTTACTTTACCTTTACTGTGGATTAGCTTTCCATCGGGTCTCAAAAGACATATTCTAATAAAATTACTCATTAAACTTAAAACTCAGATTCCTGCTTATATTAAATAACTTATGAGAAGGATTTTTTTCTTTTTCTATAGTTTTTCTTTTTTCCTATTCATTATCTGACTTGAGTAAAAAAAATAATTACCTTCTTTCACAAATATATAGCTATGAAGAGCAATCCCAGAGTTGGGAAAGCATTGATTATATATATAAATGGGACTTAAACTTGAAAATAGAAAAATTTATATGTAGACATGAAACTGATACAAACGATTCACTAGACATCATATTTTACCCACTAATCTAAATGCAGTGTGATGTGGAGTACCGGTTGTCAGTAGAAAGGAAAGTGTTTTTTGCTGTGATGAGGAATATTCTCACAAAATTAAATTTCAGGTTAATATTTAGCATGTTCAGAATTAATGCAGATACTGCCTCTTATACATGCTGTTTGGTCTATCAGTGTAATACCACAAACTTTTACAAAAAGAAAAGGTGCCATATTCTCCACTGGTCTACTACTTTTGCATTGTTTTATGAATATACCGCAAAATTCAAAAATCAGTGAACTATCTAAAAACACAAAGATTATGCAATAGGTCAAGAAGAAAAATGATCAGAATGATGTAGTTTCCTTCCCACCCTCAGGTCAACTGAATTTTATGGAAGTCGTTGCAATGAATCGTTTTCATTCGGCTTTTCACTGCTCAGGTTTTCATGCTTATCTTTGCTTTCTGAAAATAAATATACCAGATAAGAGTTACAGTTAGAAAGAATAGCTTTGGAAGCAGTTTCGTGTGGCCCAAATGAAACCTTTTCATTTAGATCAAATTCTCTGGAAAAAGGTTAAAGATCCATCAACTCATGAAGGAAAAAATATATAAATGGGATCAGTTTTTCTTTTAGAATTTTTCATTAAGACAAATTACCAAATATCTTTGAGGAAAAAACAACTTTAAAATTTAACTTCTAACCAAATGAAAACCTGCCAGCTTCCCTTTCTCATGCTCAATCCTACAAATACATAACTATGCAAACTGAATAGACTGCCTTGTTTCAAAGTTAAATGAACTTTAATTCTCTGATGTCCTTATAGCATGACTGGAGTTAACTAATAGTCTTCCTCATTTAGTACAACTTTAGGATTTTAAACAATTTAAATCTAAATTAGAATTTTAACCAGAAAAGATCAGAAAATAAGCTAAGCTATCATATAATACTTATCAGTAGAAAAGATTATCTTTGATACAGAAAAACTGAAGGAAAAATAAGCTTTTTAATAAAAATACAATCCTTAATTCTTTCTAAATGGGGCTATTTAGTCATATTCTAATTTGGGTTATTTTGATGCCATTTCCATTTAGACAATTAGTCTATGCTAGACTAATTTAAAATGCTCTTGTTTTAAGGCTTAACTCAACTTTTCATTTGAAACACCATTTATTTACATTGGTCCCAAGTGATGGTCTATGAAAACTAACAAATATCCACAGTATCACAAAGTCAGACTTGTTTTAACCAAGCCTTTCCCTCACAGGGTGTAAAACTTGGCATTGTATTTTAAAGAACGTTGTAGGCAAGAATGAAACATTGATTCATTTGCTAAAGCTCAGTGTATGGACTGACAGTAGTAGGCAGCCAACTCTACAGAGCAATTTGGGAATATGAACAAGGTCTGAGCACCCTGGGCAAAACCCAGCACCACACTTGGTACTTTGCACCACACTTTAGACCCCAGTGGAGCTAATGCAGCCATAATGATTCCCCTTGGGTTCCAAAGAAGGCACTGCAGCCTTGGTCCCGAGTCTGTGGGTAATGGAGAAAGTGAAAGGGGTCTGATGCCCCCCCACCAATGAAACCTGTCTGCACAGATGCACCTCTCTGACATCCTTAGTCCGTTTAACTTAATTCTTAAATTTCAAATACCGAGTATTAGAATTCTCTTAACCCTTCGGGCTTGATTAAAGACATAAGAAAAATTCTTGAAGTCGGGAGATTCTTGAAGTCAGAAACCAGTTATAGATCCAACCTCAAGAGAACAATACTTAAAATATTATTACATGAGTTTGTAGATATTGAAAGTAGAGTTGAAAAGCCAATGAAAATTCCAGGTTAAAAACTAGAAAAGTTAAATACTTACAATTCCAGAGTCATGTCTTGGTTTTATTTTATAAAGTGATTTTCCCTTTTTCTGCCTACACACCTCTTCAGCTTCTTTTACCCTGAGGGGAGAGAAACATGTGTGTTTAAAATAAAAACCTATATAGATGATCACAGTCCATCTTATAATAGGTACACAAGTCTCAACTCATTAATGATTTGAATTATTGGAGAAAACACCATAAACACAGGAATGTTATCTGACATTTGATTTGAAAACATAGACTGTTAAAGCTATAAACATTTCTTCAGGTAGGAGTACTCAACTTAGAATCAAACAGTATATAAACACATAAACCTATGGATCTTTCGTGCAGAAGATATATACATATGTAATATATATATTAACATTAAGGAATCTTACATATAAGAAAGAACTCCTCATTTTCAGGTTAGGATACTGAGATTGCTTCTGCTACTTAAATCTTATGAATATGGTATCATTACATAAATCAGAAGCATTAAAATAAAGACTAGCATATTAAAAATTCACATTTCTTTTTAATTATTTCAGATTCACTTTCTTCACTAGCCGTGCATGAAAGTCATTCGCAATGAATACTTGAGCAGCTTCTAAACATTTAGCTTCATTAAGCATAGGAAGCAATCATTTAATGATAAAAGAAAAAAGAGAGCGAAGAGTAATAACATTTTAACATTTCTGGGATGTCTTTACACATATACACTTCAAGGAAAATAGTACTGATTTACTAGAAGTAGAGCTAAAGAGGATGTTATTTGGAGATAAATCCTGTCTTAAGTTCGGTTGTGCAAGTTGACACTGGCAATCTCTTAATGCCCCTAAACTTTGCTACTCCCTCTAATAGCAAAGGAGTTCAACAGCATACAAAAATATTACTGCTGGGACCAGCAGTGAGTGTAATGGCTATGTATCTGAACTCCCATGTAATCGACTGTGGTTTGAATCCCAGACCTGGTGGCTTAAACTCACACCAGGCGTGTGTGTGTGTGTGTGTGTGTGTGTGCGTGCCCAAGATCCCAAGAGGAGAATGCAGGAGAAGGGATTGCACTGTGGCCATCCCCCCCCCGGGGGGTGATTTCTTGCTTTCTATCTCTCTGTCTCTGTCTTTCTGGTGAGCACATGTGCCCTATAGCAAAAACCTTTCAAAAAAAATTACTGTTATTACTACATGCAATTGTTGCAAAGACTGAATGCAATTTCATCTTAAAGGTTCTTTATAAATTATAAAATGCTATAAAAAGTTATGATTGTTTTCACTGAACAAATACTAAGAGATCTGTAAACTGGGATTCTAATCATAAAAAAGGGTATGATGAGAAGGAACATAACTATGGTTAATTTAGTTTTTATTAATGTGAGTTCCCTTGGGGATTTAAAATGGAGTATTTCTGAGAAACTAAAAAGGCTGTGGCTTGATCTTAATCAAATACATTTTACGTAGATCTTGACACCTAATTTCCTGGAAAAAAATGATTTATAAATACATATCTTGAAACCTGTGACAAAAAATACAATGAGAGAATTCATCTCCTATATTATGAATCCCTCTCTTTAAACAATACAATGAAACAAACAATCCAGTATAGCAGCTACAAGATCAATGTCATAATTTACATTAAAGCTTGACAAATGAAAGTCATTCGCTCAGAATATGAAATGCCCACTGGGGTGATACTCTTAGCAGTTTCAGAAAATGATGATTATTTAGAAGACACTCCATTGTTACCACTTTTATTACTTTCTATCCCAGCCATAAATTGCCTTTAATCCTTCCTCTAAATATTTGAAGACAAAAACATTTTCTTCTTAACAAACTAAGGATTGCAGAGTCCCCATATTCCTCTGAAATAACTACCAGTAAATTTAAATTGAAGTATTTGGACAGGGAATTAAGGAAGCTTTTTTTTTTCATCACTTAGCCCAAATCCAGTAGATCCCCTCTTAAATGTACTTGGAGCGCTTTAAAGCATTTCATGGCATTAAAAAAATGTACTTCACAAGTATTTAGATCCCCCAAAGCATCTTAATTTTCTCCCTTTCTTATTTATTTTGTTCTCAAAACATATTTTGGTAATGATCACAGAAAGCCAAGTCTAATACAAACATTAAATTTTACACAAAAACAAATTCTGTCATTCCTCATGGCAGGGACCATGAAAACTGAGGAGAATATGCGTCAAGAAGTCCACACGTGATCTTTTAGCTTAGCCTTTCATTTGGCCATCATTTATGGAGCAATAATTCCAAGTCAGGCAGTAGGATGCAGCTCAATTTTATGAGGGCCGTTAAATTCAACATCTAATAGGAGAGAGTTGCACATAAGCAAGTAAAAGACAATGAGGCATTAAGTGCAACAACCCAGGTTCATAGAAGGTACACTTGTGTTCCAGAGGCAGTTCCTCGGGTTGGTGGACAGGGGTTGTGAAAATCTTTCTGCATTAGGTTGACAGATGAACCTTGTTTAACAGGTAACTCTTAATTGTTCATACTTTGCTTGGAAAGGGAAAATGAGACTGAGGGAGAAGGAAGTGAACAACATACAGAATAATACATGTGAAGGTCAAGCAAGAGTCAAAGAATGCGATTCTGAGCTTCAATAACTACAAATGGTTCTCTCTCTGCTGCCATAGGGTCCTCACACAATGAGAGGCAAAAACTCAAAATCATTTTCTGGCTTTTGTGTTAATTTCTTCTATGTATGAATAGGGAGTCTGTTATCTCATGTTAAGCACCTCTGGATATGCACACAAATGCTTCAAGGAGTTGGAAAACTGAGCACCAAATCTTTATTTATTTATTTTTTTTGAGAGAGATTTTTGCTGTAGGGTATGGGCATTTGCCAGAGACAGAGACAGAAATGAAGTGGACAAATAAGAAAGATTTACTGCTGAGTGAAGCAAGTCAAGCTATGAAAGGGAAACACTGTATGTCTCCACTACATATACTGAGTAACTGTATTCTGTGGCGGAAACTGAAATATTAGAGGATATGGAAACATGCAAAACAGTTATGAATAATGGAGACAGTGTTGGAAGAAGGTGGAGATGAAGGAGAGTGACAGGAAAGGAATCAAGGAGAAAAATAAAGAGATAAGATAATGAAGGGACACAGAAATGGAGGATTGTCTGTTGATAATAACATGTATGTTATCTTCAACTGGACTGGTGTGAAGTATTTATGTTGGGTAAGTTCATTTTACAAGCTATAGTGATATACAGTGATTGAATGTATAAAATAATAAAAATTTAAACATTAATAAAAAAGAAATCACCCCCTGGGGAGATGGCCATGCCATAATTCTTTGTGAGTCCCACAACCCTTCAAAGCTTCCTAGCAAAGGTTACTTCTTCTAATTCTTTCAACAGAATTCTGACAAAAAGAATTTTTTTTATATACTTTAGGCAGGGTAAAACAACTATGTCCCTGGAGGTTGGCTACATTGCCAGAGTTGGCAGAAATAAGAAAAATAATGAAAAGAGAAGCTGGTATGGAGAGGGTCCAAGCCAGTTGTCAATATCAGCATCTTTGTATGTGGATCTCCATGTGGGCTGTCATGGAGGAGTGTGTCAGCTGCAAGTGGAGGTCAATTTAGCAACTGCTTTATATGTGTTTTTTTTCCTCTTTCTTTCCTGCCTCATGCCTTATTTGATGATGCCCCATGTTTCTTAAACTGAGTAGGGTAGCACAAGAGGGTTCTGTTGGAACATTGGTTAATCAAGATTCCATGCTACTAGAGAACTAAAAAGGAAGCAAAAATTTTAACATGACATCTATCATAGGGTCATTTTAACAGTTGCAACTTCTAATCCGAAATCTATTAGGTCATCAGGAAAGTTGTGATACATTTTTCTATGTTTTTCTATGTAAAAATGCGTCATGACTTTCCTGATGACCCAATAGATAACAGAAGGAAAGTATAAGCAAAACCAAATCATATGATAAAAAGAAGAAACTTCATTCATCACTATTAATGACTTTAGGAAAACCGATCAGCAGAGATCAGAAAACAGGAAATGTTACATTATCTTTTAGTGGCAAGAGAGGGATACTAAGTGGTAAATAATAGTTTTAAACTCTCATCTGTTTATTAGTAATTTGCAGTAGTATATTTTTGTCTATGAAATTTCAGAAAAAAAGAAAACTATGTTGAATAATTCTCAAAAGTATATACTTAAAATTTTTTTTTTTGCCAGAGGGCACATGCACTCATTGTAGAGACATAGACAGAGAAGAACACAAAGACAAAGTGAGAAAGTACCCCCATGGAGATTGGCTACACCACAATCCCTTCTCCCTTCCCCATTTCTCCCTCCTTTCAGGATTGTGGACACACACACACACACACACACACACACACACACACACACATTCCTGGTGTGTTTTCCAAAACACCAGGTCTAGGACTCGGCCTCCATAGTCAACCATGTGGGATTCAGCTGCCTTAACCACCATGCCATGATATGACCCTATATTTATTTATTAAGTAGAGAACTAAGAGTAACCAAAGAATATGAGACATTTTTAATCTTTTAAAGGGGAGTTTAGTTATGGGATATAGCAAAAAGATATATGGAATCAGGCTCGACAAAAAATAGATGACTGATCTGAACAAAATACATTTTTTTGTCCAAAAGCAATGTTTTGCTTTGGTGATACTCAGAAAGAGTGAAATGACTAAATGAATGTGTGATTCCCAGATAATGGAAACTTTCCCCCTTCAAGGACCAATCTTTGCAAAGCCAATTTTGGAAAAAAGTCTTTTGAGAAGAAATTAAGCTTTTCCTTAAATAAATGGAACAACTTAAATTTTACTTGATGACTAGTGTTCACCATTGGACACATCACTGTTGTAATTTGCTATGATTAAGGGATGCCATCCTAAGGCTATATAAGGTAGCTTCTTTGTGCACTGACACTACATACTTTGCTTGCGTTGTGTGTATTTTTTAGTTTTCTGTTTCTCCCTAGAATGGCAGGGTGCAATCACTTCTGACTACAGCCAGCATGCCTGCCCCCAGGACAACCTCTATCTCCCTTTAATAATTTCATTTTCTCTAGAGGATAAAAACCAGATAACTA